GCTGGCTGGAGAATTCTGGGAGTTGAAGTCCACAAGTCTTAAAGTGGCCAAGTTTGGAGACCTCTGCTCTACTTCATCCATCATGCTCAACACTCTTGCTGGGGTGGAACCTTCCTGACTCGTAGAAAGCCTTCTCCTCAGAGCTCCAGTAACCGATGATGGAGACCTTGAATTTGTTCTGCAGCCACTTTCACTGGACCAGCGCATTTCCCAGTCTAAAACTCTTTGGGTAAACATGTATCCTTAAGCCAGTTAATCCCACAGGGAACTTTGTGGAAAAGACCCTGTTTTTACCTTGATCAAAGATGAATGGAGCATCTCAACATCATGTCAAATGTGCATGTACCAGGAAAAGAAATGATAACCAAATGGAAGATTATTTATTTTGTTTTGTTTGTCCTCCAAAGAAGCTGAGAGGACTGTTTCTGGAGTAATTCTCAATTTGAAACCTAAGTCTTCTCTTACAATGTGCATTTTAAGTTCTTTTTATCCGAATTTAATTCCTATCCTAAGCCATGTTCTCGGCAAACGTTGGCTAGGATTTAGGTTATAGTCTTACCTGAGAGTATAAGAGACAATTGAGTAGGCTACAGACCATTTCTGTTATTTTCTTTTCTTTGTACAACCCCGGGAAGCCTGATAGTTTAAAAGAGTTTTCGCTGGCTTTTTAAAGGGGAGTCTTTGTAATTTTCCTAAAGCTTTCCATCATTTGCTCTCCATTTTTTGCAAAACCAGTTTTTTTTCTTTCTCCTTATGAGACAGGTGAGATCGTCCAAACAATTGTTAAGGGAAAATTCCCATTTCCTTGGCTTTGAATTCCACTTTCTCCAGGACTTAATTTTCTAGCTTTCTACTTTCAAAGCCACATGTTTTTTCCCCCCTCCTTTTGCCAATGAACCCCTGAATCTGAAAAAGTGCTTTAGCTACGCCCAGCAGTCACGCCTTCCAGCTCTGCAGAATGAAGGCAAAGCTGCCTTCCTTTTATTGAATCCTTTGAGGAACAACGCACTTTTTCTGAGCCTTTGTAAACCACGAGATAAGCCTTGTTCCACTTTCTCCACCTCCTCCTCTCCTTTGCCCCCCATCAGGTGCCCCTTGTCCCTATGTTCATTCATTTGTTCTGTCCTGGTGGGAGGGCAGGGGAGATGCGCGTAAGGGGGCACATGGACCAGCTTCTCTCAAATTCATACCCTCCATCCACTTGGGCTAGATTTCAAATGTCATAATCTGCAGCCCACCTGGCTCACCCCACCTAGGGTGCACCTGTTGGGGAGTGGCTGTTCAATACGCAGGTGAGCTAAATTCACAACTTTGAGTGCAGTTACATCTCTTGGAGGTTCAGAGTCGATCCTCGTTTTCGCGTTGCACAGATGACCAATGAAATCCTTCACTCCTAGTGATGCCTTTTTTTTTGTCGTTCAATCACCTGCCATTCTAACTACAGTCGTGGGACTCCACGTGGTATGGATCTTCCTTCTGCAAACATCTCTCCTTTGACTATGTTTGAAAGTGGAAATCTGGTTCTCTAAAAAAGACAATCGACTGTTTAAATCCTTGCTGGGACAATCTCCGCGTCCAGCCAGAAGAACCGAGAACGTGATCCGTTCTCGAACTGACTCGTGCTGGGGAAATTCAGTTTGCTGGCCACAGGTTGACTTTTCAGCTGTGAAGAACTGCTGCCATGTGCCTTTACTGGGGGGGGGGGGGGGGGGGGAATGATGTTGCGTATTTGCTGAGCTGATGAGGCCAGATACTCACATTTTTACCTCCTGAAAATAGATCAAAGATCCCGTTTATATTTTCCTTGAGATTTGAACCTGTTCGCAGCGGGGATCATATTCACTTGATGTCTCCTTTTTTGAAAGGGGGGGGGGGGGGAATGCACTTTTTACCACTCTCCCATGCTGTGTTGCTGCATTTATTTGGTAGGGAAGTGGGCATGACCTGAATCATGGAGAATAACACACTCCAATCTTGTTGAGACTCTGTATACAGGACTGCCAACCGCCTGCACAGCTCTTAACCTTTTGGACAAGTGACGTTGAGGTCCGGATTCCTTGCCTACCTTCTCTGGCCGGCTGGGTGACCTTGCACTTTTGGAAACGGTCAGATTTCCTAGGAGAATAAAAGGCTTCTTTCAGTCCACGAGTATTACAGGAAAGAGCAAAAACGGCTGGAAAGGGCAGAGATCATTTAAATGCTAAGACGAAATGTCTCCCCAATCAGTTGTTTTCCCCGGCCTTTCTGGCTTTCTGGTCTGGGGGGTGGGAGAGAGGAAATGGCTCTGTGCAAGCAACAGGAGCGCACACCCGCAGCTCCGTTTTTGGAGCTTCACACAAATGGAGCTTGACGCACCGTTTGCACAAGTGGAGCTGCGTGCGTGAATTGCGTGCCTGACACTTGCACAGCCCGGTTCCGAATGGGCCGTGGCCTGGGGGGCTTGGGGACCCCTGTAATTCAGTCTTCCCAGGATCTTCATGCTGGGTTCTGCGTCTTTTCATGCGTTCTGTTTAAACAGACTCATCTGAGCTCACGCAGAAACCTTTTCCCACAAGGTGTTATGGTTCATCCTTCTAGGAAATGGATGCTGGGTCTGATTTGGGGGTGGATTAAAGCATCTCACCTGGCATTACCTGCTGACACATTCCTGGACTGTAAAAACAGGAGGTTGGCTGTAGGTTGGGCCAACACCACGATGGGGCTCCCAACACCTCTTCCCTCCTTGTGCACCTACCTCATGTCTTAAGCAGGTGCTGGAGTGTTGTTATTTCCCCCCCCTCTGGTTGTAGTTTGCTTTATTTTTAAATACAGTTTTTGCTGCATAACTTATATTATCAGTTAGAGCTTTCAGAAAGAAATGGGATGGTTCAAACATTTGGATATCTTTTGGAAGAGGGAGAGTTACTTCTCAAAAGCATGGATGCAGACTTTGGTACCTCTGCTTCTGAAAACGGAAGGCTGAATGAGCACTGCTGTGCTTTCTTTTGTCTTCCATTAAGTTGAATATTATCTGTTGTGGTTTGAGGGGGCTCCTAACACATTGAGAAGACCCACTCTTAAGAAACTATAGCTCCTACGAACATCCCCCATGCCTAAAAGGTGTAATTTTAGGCCAGACTGTTCATTGTGGAAAAAATTAGGAAATGCAAAGAGGTCGTCTGTTTAAGATGACATCATGTGATGAGTCAGAACATCACTTCTTTCCAACCTGGTGTTTTCCAGGTGTATTGGTCTTTTGGCTAGGCTAGGAGATTGGGAGTAGGAATATCCAATGCATCTGGAAGGGATTTATTTGAGGAAATCACCTGTGATCTGTGTTCAGTTGGGGACAAATGCCCGTTTTGAATTTTCTGTAGTCCCTCTGTTGCATTTTCATCAGGGAACTATAGAAATTTGGCCTCCTCATATGGTTCTTGAACACAGTGGGAATGTTTTCATTTTACATTGGTGACAAATAGAACTCCAGAACTAATTCTGGTGTTTACATCACTGTTACAATCAGTTAATTCAGTTGCTACTAGTTTTAGTTGGGTGTTCATTGCCGAAATCACACCCTGAGGAAGATACTTTTGAATGGGCTGGTGTTATTAATATTATTATTATTGTAGTAGTAGTAATAGTTTAAAAGTTCTACAAAGGTTCACATCGGACAGATGGTACTTGAATAGCAGTTCAGTTTTCTCACCCACGGTGGCTTTAAGGTTTAATTGGTTTAACAATTTTAAAGGTGCTAAGGTTGAGAAATGCGGCTGTAGAATACAGAATCCCAAACTCTGCAGTTTTCCAGCTTACCTAATTAGTCCTTTGGGTGCAGGTATTTCTCTGTTCATATCAGTGTGTGTGAGAAACACAACACCTTAACAGATTTCTTGTATTTATTTGGCATTTTTAAAACATTCCCTTCCTATCTGACCCCTGTCTCTGTCTTAATCTTGTTGGTGATGGAAAGAGGTAGGCTTAACTTAAACAACAACAACCCAAACTCTATACTTCCAACCGCAGGAGAATATGAGCCAAATAATGTAATGTTGAAATACGCAATGATCTCCTGTATTGATATAGTAATCACTTGGGCTTGAGTTTGTATGCATGTGTGGGCTATTATGTCTTATTGTTTATTTTGTGAGATTTGAATTCATGCCGTTGCTGTATAATAACGATGAACAAGGGTGGGGGTGTCATCTAAATTGGGGGGGATATTCTGCTAACTGTTCCTGAAATGTAGAGTTCCAAGAGGAGTCTTGAAAGACTCGTGCAAGTCCTATCGCTCTTGATGGAGATGCACGGACTGAAGGTGGGGAAAATCTGTCGTGTGTTCAGCTTTTTGGTCAGGTGCAATATTAAAACATGTGAACACGTTTAACCTGCTGGTCTTTTTTAAAACAGTGGCCTCTGAAGGTTGTGGGGATAGGCTGTGCTTTGAGAATGCAAGAGAAGTAGAGATGCAAGCACACGTACCACACTACATTGCCTCCACGCACACAAACCACCGTTCCTGTTGGAGCAGGGGTCTCCAACCTGGGCCACTTTTAGCCTGGAGGACTTCAACTCCCAGAATTCCCAGGGAGTTGAAGTCCTCCAGGCTTAAAATGGCCCAGGTTGGAGACCCCTGTTTTGGAGGAATCTTCCCTTTGCATCAATGAGACCAGAGAAGCAACTGTGTTGTGGGAATGGATTGAATATTGATTCTCAAGGCAAGATGGGCAGCTTTCTCCTCCTTGCACACCACAACTCTTTTTAAATTTTTGCCTACCCATCGGTTCTTCTAAGAGGAGCTGGCTTGTAGAGCCAACCAGCTTGGCCTTGAGCCATGCGGGAAGGCAGGGGGCATGGCCTCTTCCTTTTTTGTGTGGCCCCCGTTAGAACAGGCTCTCCAAACTTGGCAACTTGTGGGCTTCAACTCCTAGAATGCTTCAGCCAGTCCACAAGCCTTTAAAAACCACCAAGTTTGGAGAGGCTGCCCTAGAAGAACCCAGGTGTGATTTGCAAAGGTCTTCCTCTAACCTTTCATAGGAACCAGAAGGGTCTTTTGGGAAAGCCCGGTTGGATTTGAAGGGTGGGGAATGACTTTTGGCCTGAAAGTCCATCGTGTCCAACGATGGTGGGGAGGCTTTCGAAAGAATCCTACTTCCCAAGGACCAAGGAGGGTCAGCAAACGTTGGGATGACAATCAGTGCGCCATAGCCAGGAACTCTTTTCCTTTTGCGATGTAAGCATTTTGTATTCTCTGAAGCGATCAAATGAAATAAAAGTTGAAGACGTTGACAAAAGCTCGCACCAAATGTTTGGTCTGTCTTATTTCCCTACTTGCCTTTGGACTACATTACTAGACCTTGTAACCATGGTAGATGGAGGATCAGAAGATACTATCCATACCCGCCTCACTTTGTGAGCCTGATGGCTGCCTCCTTGGTTCTTTGTGGGATCCACTGTCAGAATCTTCCTCCAAGCTCTACACAGGACTAGTTTCCATTGGTTTGGTAGTCCAGGGACGTGTTGCAAGGCACCCTTTGAGGCAGAGAGTGGATATGGTCATAATACAGCCAGGGAAATATCTCCCCAGCTAAGCCAAATATGAGCGATTGCAGCAAAGAAGCAACCCATTCATAGAAGTCATAGAATAACAGATTACCCCCAGTTGGAAAGGATCTTGTAGGTCATCTAGTCCAACCCCCCACCCAAGCAGGAGACCCTACCCCATTTCTGACAGATGGCAGTCCAGTCTCTTCTTGAAAGCCTCCAGGGATGAAGCTCCCACAACTTCTGAAGGCAACTTCTGTTCCATGGGTTGATTGTTCTCCCTGTCGGAGAATCTCTCCTTATTTTCAGGTTGAATATTTCCTGGATCAATGGATCAATCCATCCATTATTCCTTGACTGGCCTTCAGGTGCTTTGGAAAATAGTTTGACCCCTTATCTTAGAACAAGGGGTCTTCAAACTTGGCAAGTTTAAGATTTGTGGGCTTCAATTCCCAGAATCCCTGAGCTAATATGACTGGAGGAAGAATTCTGGGAGTTGGAAGTCCACAAGTCTTAAAGCTGTCAAGTTTAAAGACCCCTGGAATAGATAGATTAGATAGGTAGGTAGGTAGGTAGGTAGGTAGAGGGGGGGAGAGAGAGAGAATAGATAGAATAGATAGAATAGATCAAGGGTCTTCAAACTTGGCAATTTTAAGACTTGTGGGCTTCAACTCCCAGAATTCCTGAGCTAACCATGGCTGGAGGGGGAATTCTGGGAGTTGAAGTCCACAAGTCTTAAAGCTGTTAAGTCTGAAGACCCCTGTCTTAGAATCTTAGGGCTAGAAAGGACCTCAGTGATCTAGTTCAATCCCTGCTCAACCAGCAGATTCCATCTCAGAAAAATGACTGTCTGGGAATTCTGGGAGTTGAAGTTTACAGATCGTTAAAAGGGCCAGAGTTTCCCCACCCGCTGCCCTGGGATGTCAGAGAGCTGAGTTCCCAGGAGATGCACGACTCTTTGATTGGAGCAGGAGCGGGCAGGTTCCTTGACTCATGCGATGGGAAATGCACATCTGCAAAGGGTTGAGAGACAGGAGTCCTTTTGGGGCCTCCGGCACGTTCTCTTTGACCTCCCTGCAAAAACCCTGCAGAGACATATTTTGGCTGACTTCTTTTTATTCCTTTTTATTCCTTTTATTTATGGAGGGAGGGGCCACATGCGTGAATTCACTCATTCATTTTAAGCCAACGATTCTCAATCCCTACAACTTTTTAAGATGCATGTGGGACTTCAGCTCCCAGAATTCCCCAGCCAATATTGCTAGCTGAGGAATTCTGGGAGATGAAGTCCGGATACCTTCATATTGCCAAGTTTGAGCAGTGCTGGTTGAAGGGCTGGCAGGACTGCAACGTTCACCCTCCCCTCCCTGAGGGGCAATAAAAGACGAAAGCCTCGAATAAAAATATATATGAAAAGTCTCAAAACCACCCCTAATTTTCATAGTTTCAACTGCCACGTTTATAATTTCTGGATTTGATTTGTATATTGATGCTGCAATAGTTTTTTTTTTTAAATAATTCTATGGGTTCGCTGCCCAGAGTCACCGTTTGACGTGTGTGTGCGTGTGTGTGTTAATAATTGATCCCGAAACGTTTTTATTAGGTATGATCAAAGGGAATCTGAGTAAAGATAAAAGATACCTTATTGTACACATCTTAACTGCAGCGAGAATCACGTTAGCACAAAATTGGAAGAGTGATAAAATATCACCGGATGAAGTTTTGATTAAAAAAATAATGGACTGGGCTGAACTAGAAAAAATCACTATGGAACTGAAAGGCGAAGAGGATCGAGAATACTATGCGACATGGGACAGGTGGTACGAATGGGTGAAGGATAAGGATAAAAATAATGTATAGTCACAAAATAAGAAACATGTATATACAGTGACACAATAACTGTTAATGGAAACGAGATTTTTGTATTTTTTGTTTTTAAAGAATAAAAATTATAATTTTTTTTTAAATAATTGATCCCATAAATCAGAGGCCTTCAAACTCGGCAACTTTAAGACTTGTGGACTTCAATTCCATAGCTGGCTGGAGAATTCTGGGAGTTGAAGTCCACAAGTCTTAAAAAGTTGCCAAGTTTGGAGGCTTCTGCCATAAAAAAATATGGCCAAATTAGGCAAAGCGTTAGAATTGGGGCAGCCACTTCTGGGAAAAGGAGGAAAAGGGGGGAAAGAATCCCAGGAGCGATAGAAGTGGGGGGAAGATTTGCTGAAATGATGAAAACCCCCCTGGGGAGGCCAGTCCCCCCCCCCCCCCCCCCTTTTCCCCGGCTTCCAAGAGCTGGGAGGATCAAACAGCCTGCAATGTCCGCTCCTGGCCGGTAGAGGCCACTGTTAGGTACGCGAGCGGGCGCGGAGGGCTCATCAGGCGCCCGCGCGGGCAGCCCCGCGAAGGGTCCTTCCTCGGAGAGGCGGCAAGATGGCGGCCGCGTGGCGTCTGGGGGCGGCGCTGGGGGGCCGGTAGGTGGGGGGGGGGGGGGCCCCCCCCCGGGGGGGGGGGGGGAGGGCTTCCCCGTATTAAAACCCCCTCCTCGCCCTTCCCTAACCTGCCCCCGTTCTCCTCCTTCGCCAGCCCATGGAAAGACGCCGGACGTCGTTCCTTGGGAAGACTTGGACTCCAGCCCCCATTATCCCCAGCCAGGAGCCCCCCCGCCCCACCTCAGCTGATGCCTTTTGGAAGCATTGGCCTTCTTTTATATTTGCTATTATGGGTGTTGTAGTCCGTCCCGCCGCAGGTGGTGGGAAAAGAGGCGCTGGAAGCCTCGATTCAACTCTCTTTTCAACGCCCCCCCCCGACAGGTTGTCTCTTGAAGCTGTCAATCATCCCTTTGAGGGGGGGGGTCTCCGAAGAGGGAGGCCGAAAACAGGAAACCCCCCCTCCCCCCAAAAGGTGCTTCTGGTAGGGGAGGGTGGGGTCCAACCATAGGATAGGATAGAGAACAGAATAATTATTATAGAAAAAATAGAATAGGCATAAGGAATGAGAATGAAATAGAAATAACATTAGAACAGAATTAGAAATAGAATAACAAGAGTTTATTTTTATTTTATTTTTATTTATTTTGTTTGTCACCGTGTGTGAGAAAACAAGTATGAACATAACATATAAACATAACATAAATGGGTATAAGTATAGACATAATAAATGAGTAAATGAATAAATGGGAACCGTAGGACAGGGACGGTAGGCACGCTGGTGCGCTTATGCACGCCCCCTTAACTTTGGCTCTGCAACCCAACAAGACGGACACAGACTTCAGAGAGGAATTAGGTCTGCAGAAGAAACAATGGCTACCCACCTGCCTTCAATGGAGGACCTGGATCCTGCATGAGTCAAAAAGCGGGCTGGGAAAATATTTAGAGACCCCTCACATCCCGGACATAAACTGTTTCAGCTCCTTCCCTCTAAACGACACTGTAGAGCCCTGCACACCAGAACAACTAGACACAAGGGGAGTTTTCCCCCCGAATGCCATCCCTCTGCTAAACAAATAATTCCCTCAACACTGTTCAACTATTTACAAAGTCTGCGCTACTATTACTGTTAAATCTTGTCATCACTCCTTATCACCCATCCCCTCCCACTTGGGACTGTATGACTGAAACTTTGTCACTTGTATACTTATGGTTTTTATTGACTGTTTCCTAGTATGATTTGATTGCTCATTAGTAACCTATGACTATCACTAAGTGTTGTATCTTATAATTCTTGATGAATGTATTTTATTTTATTCTTACGTACACTGAGAGAGCTTACGCACCAAAGACAAATTCCTTGTGTGTGTCCAATCACACTTGGCCAATAAAGAATTCTATTCTGTTCTTACAGACAGACCTCTTAGGAATGGAGTGAGGTCCACGGTAGACAGTTTAGAAGGTTAAAGCTTTGGGGGTTGAGGGGTTGAGGATGTAACAACAGAGTCAGGTTGACCACTGTTGCTGAAGTTGTATTTTCTGCAACCGGTTGGAAGTTGGAAACAAGTTGGAAGGGACCTTGGTGGTCTTCTAGTCCAACCCCCTGCTTAGGCAGGAAACTCTCTACTACTTCAGACAAATGGCCATCCAGTCTCTTCTTAAGAATTTCCCAGTGTTGGAGCATTTACAGCTTCTAAAGGCAAGCTGTTCTTTTGATTCACTGTCCTCCCTGTCAATGAATTTCTCCTTAATTCCAGGTTGCTTCTCTCTTTGATGAGTTTCCATCCGTTGCTTCTTGTCTTCCCTTCAAGGACTCTTTGGAGAATAGGGTGACCCCTTCTTCTTTGGGTCAGCCTCTCAAGTATTGAAACGCTGCTCCTATTATCACCCTGCGTCCTTCTTTCCATCCATCGAGACCTGCCCAATTCCACACTTGTGGACTTCCAGCTGGCTGAGGGAATCTGGGAGTTGAAGTCCACAAGCTTTTAAATGGCCCAGTTTGGAGACCCTCTCCCGCCCCAAAGTGCAGGAAGTAGGGAAGAGAGGGCAACCTTGGCGGGTCCTCTTGGCAGGAGTTTTGGCACTTCTGTGTCTCCGTCTCTTCCCCTTCCCCTGCAATGAGCTTGTCCCCGTTTTTGCCCTTTGCAGGACAGAATTACAGACTTCCTTCCTCATGGTCTCCCACAGGTGTTTTAGGGACCCCAGCATCACACCCTCATTCTCCAAGGGTCTCACAGCTTCTGTGGGGGGTAAGGATTTTGAATGGGGCTGGGCAGGCGCCTGGATCTGAAGCATGCAGGAATGCAAAGGGTCTCCAAACTTGGCAACTGAAAGACTTGTGGACTTCAACTCCCAGAATTCTCCAGCCAGCTTGAAGTCCACAAGTCTGGACTTGGGCATGGCTGGAGAATTCTGCGAGTTGAAGTCCACAAGTCTTTCAGTTGCAGAGCTTGGGGGCCCCTTCAAGTCTGAGCCATGTCTTAACCACATAGTTGATTTATGGCGCTGCTGAAGGGAGGAAGTGTGTAGCCAGCTGTGCTCTGAGCCACCTTTTTCTCTCTGGATCTGGATTGTTGCCCAGGTCCGACTTCCAAGGCAATGACAGAAAGAAGGATGGCTCTGAAAACGAGCATTTTCCTTTGAAGCATCCTAGTTTCCCACTGATTGTATTGATATTATTAATAATAAAAGGCCCGCTTAAAACCAACAACAGGAAGGGCAAGGAATGACATGAACAGAGACGTGTCCCCTAGAAACTTTCCAAAGCTTTAATCTGCTATATAGTTTTGTCATCAAGAAATACAAGATGGTCGTATTCCAGATGCCAGGTGCTTATTTCATTTTGTTAGATATATATTTCGTTTTGTTTTTCCTAGAGAGTCTTGCTGATATCTAGGTTGCCTGGACTGTAATGCAAACACGTCATGCAGTGTTTCTCAACTCAATAACTTTAAAATGTGGGGGCTTCAGTTCCCAGAATCGCCCAGCCTCATCTTGCCTATACATGACTGGAGGGACATTTTGGCCTCTTAGCTTGCAAAGCAGAAAACTAGATTCGCCCATGTGGCGCTAAGCTGAGTGTAATCCTAAGTACAGCACAAAAATGCCATATTTTCTTCTGAAAGATTTCTCCTTTAGGCTACTAACTTACCTGTTTCTGTAACGTTGCATGCAAACAAATATGACCCACAGCCTGTTCAACATTTGTTGACAAACAGAGGAAAAAATGGAAAGGAGAAAGGAGAGAGCAAAAATTGCTAGAATTTTTATTTTTTTCCCTCAGCTATCAATTTTTTAATAGGTCCCCAGATTTCCTCACCTCTCAGTGGTGTTATTTATTGAAATATTTATTCTTCCTTGCTTCGAATCAAAACACAAGCTCTAAATCTGGAAGCTTTCAGCTTTTAATGAAAATCCTCAGTCCTTACTATTTGGGTCGAAGTATGGGAAATGCCGTTAAACTGTCTTAGGAATCAACCGATGGTATTCTTAGCTGTGCTTTTTTTTCTCCATTCAGCTTTTGTCATTTGGGGTTAAAGAGTACGAATGTATCAATTAAACAACAATACCGTTTTGTTACACCACACAAGACTTTCCTGTTTCCTGCAGTGCCACAGATGTCAGGTGGGTGTTTCGTTTGTGCATTTTCAGTTCTGTGGGGTGAAAATGCTTATTCTTTTCTAAATTGTATTCATGATAAAAACATTTAAACATGTTTCAGTTCCACCTGCCTAATTTCTCACCAAGTTAGAAGAAATCCATTTTTGTATGATGGACAGATGTGTTTGCTTCCTGGTGGGCAGAGAGCAGAAACAGTCAGTGAAGCTAGCTTCCTCTGATCCAGGCAAAAGGCAAATTGACCCTGTTTCAAAATAATTTATTTTATTTTTTGTCTCCCTTAATTTTAGCGAGGTCTCTATTTATTCAGACACAGGACACACCAAACCCAAACAGCTTAAAATTTATTCCAGGAAAACCAGTCCTGGAATCCAGAACGATGGAATTCCTGTCTCCAGCTTCCACCTTCTGCTCTCCATTAGCAAGGTTTGGAAAGGGGTGGGGAGGTTGCACATAAGTGTGATGTTATTTGGAAATACGTCCCAGTCAGACCCCTGGCTGGGGCAGAGATACCCTGTTGGAGGCACTAAAATTGGAGGGTATTTTTATCCCATGTCATCTATTCTTGTAAAGGGATGGAAATCCGAGAAGGGGAATTCTCACCTCTCGCTTTTCAATTTTCAGTTCACTTTTAAGAAATGGGTTGTGATTTAACATCAACCTCAGAGAGAAATAAGTGCAGCTTCTTTTTGAAATCTTTGGGGATAGGCAATTTTTGGTTTGATTTTTAGTTCCTATTTATGCTCCGGCCTTTTCCATATGACTGAGGATTATACCAAATGAGTTTTTCCGCCCAGCCCTTCGTTGGATGAAAAAATAATCTCCTATGGCAGGGGTCTCCAACCTTAGCCACTTTTAAGACTTGTGGACTTCAACTCCCAGAGTTCCTCAGCCAGCTTTGCTGGCTGAGGAACTC